CTACCAGGCCAGTTTTAATCAAACATCACAGGAACGATGCTTATATGGTTCTCTACAAATGTTTTGCATTTGGTTTTGATTGGATGAAAATAATACTGTCAGAGACAAACATAGATTTTTGATGGGTAATTTTGAAATTTTCAAACTGCAGGATAAAATTTTTTGAAATATATTTGATTGATGACTCATAAAAATAGATTTAAACTAACTTTGAGAAATTATTCATATTATAAAATTTTAAATCACACCTCGCAGCCTTCAACTTGCATCTGAAAACAAAAGCATCTGATACCAAATTTTTTAGAAGTATCTTCTCTTGAGCAATTTAGGGGTTAATTTGCTAGGTGAGGTATTCAGGCTCCATGGTGCCTCAAGTTTTCCTAATAATACAGCGAAAAACTCAGAAGTTGATGGCTGCGAGGTGTGATTTCAAATTTTATAATATGAATAATTTCTCAAAGTTAGTTTAAGTCTATTTTTATGAGTCATCATTGTTGACACATAATGAACCTATTAACATCGTTTCAGTTTCAGATGATTTTTAATAATCATTCTTCTCAAAGAAAAATTTACTCAACGAAATATTCCTACAGGCCTATTGACAGAATGATTACATACAAAATGTACATTTGGGTCTATGATGTAATTATTATGTCAAAAGAAACATTTTGATTTCCACTTTTTGGAAATGTTTTCACATCTGAAATAGTTGTTTCTAAATTATTTTGTAAATTTAATTATAATTTTTTTATTCATTTACTGGAGCTTTTTATTTGATTTTCAAGTCATCAGTGATATTGAACACTTATTGAATTACTAGTTACCGGTAATTGACTTCTAGTGAATCTGGACAGATTGTATGTGTGGAAAAACATTGGTGTCTGCATTGGTAATGAGCTGGAACAAAAGAATTGAACACAATTTGTTGCTTCTCTGGTTCAATTCTCCATTAATTTTCCACTGATTGCAGATCACAAACATTTCCCAATAGATTCCATTTGATTTCATGTGTTTGAAGGAGAACACAAGGACTTCACATACACACAGCTTCTTTAAATACCAGTTGATTCAATTTTGCCATTGAAAATAAATAATTAATTAAGCATTGTGTAGAGTTTGTGTGTAGCAATTTAATATCAAATTACACTCTTGTATTTTTGATGAAAGGAATATAATGGATTTGGAAGAAGAAGAAGATTTGTACACTACACCTTATGGGTAACGTTTTGTTATTAATATGTTCATTTCATTGTTCAATTTCAGTGCATTTCTAGTTAATTTCATTGTTGATTTTTATTCACCAGGTGCATTTATATTTAAATCTCCTGTAGCGATGTCTGTATTTTTTATTTTCTAACATTCCAGATGTAATCTAGCTTCACAAAATGTGCTCTCATCCCCGATATAGATGAGTCAGCCTGAGAGAAATGTATTATACAAAAATTAGCTGAATATCAATGACTGTGTTTGTCTTATAGTATTGATCTTTTGTTTATAGAGATTATAATAATTGAAATTTATAGGGTAATTTATATAGTAGGGTCAAATATCTACATTTTAAGCTTTTTAATGGTGCCATTTTGAATATATTACATAATATTTATTGAATAAGGGAAATCAATTTACCGGTACATTTTAAGTGTATCCATCATCTGCATGTGGGTCTTTACTTATTCATCCCGATGAAAATGTCTTGTAATGCTAGACAATTTCTGCAATCTGATCCAAAAGTTTATAGTGGATTAAGAGGTTGGGAATGTTAAGAGGCTTACAACTAAAGAGAAAGAAAAAGAATATTAATATCACCCCCTCAACCCTCAATCCCATCTCCACCTCTTTATTTCTCATTCAATGCTTGGTGAAATCGTAAATTTAGCTTTGTTAGGAAGGTATGCAGTTGTAAGGCATATCAATATAAAATTTTTAAGGTCATGTTTCTTCACTAACAAAACCATAATCCGCTTTCAGTCGTTGAAAGTTTACTGACCTAATAGTATGAAAGTGTTTTGAATTAATATCTTGGGGAATTTCAAGCCTGTTCAATTTTTTACAGATAACCATTTAATTTCCAACATACTGGTTAATTTTACAACATTTTCTTAGCTTACAGATTACGATTTTGGAATAAAAAGGATGCATTCCATCAGCTTTGATTCTAGTCTGTGTACAACATACATACATGAAATTAGGAAATAAAAAAAAAAAACTGCATATATATATATATATATACTGTCAGTTGTCACATAAATACGTAATATACATGAATATACAGAAAGTTATGTAAGTTGATTATTATGATTAATGAATTAAGCCAAAAATATTAGTTACATGTTGTCAGTGACTGATGTTTAGTGACTTTTCTCCCATTCTTATTTTGCTTTTGGGTAAAAATGCTGTATAATATTGATATTGGAATGGTTCCCATCTCTTTGACAGAACCATCTGTCAAATAGACCTAAATTCCATTGGAGAATTGCCTGATCTATATCTTTGACATGGCATCCTGCTGTCAATAGTGAGGGATTAATAATTTACATCTAATGCCCAACTTTAAAAGTACTGGCTTTCATAATCCTGTTCATCAAGAGAGGGTTTCATATCATAATTACAATACTGCCCCCTAATGTAAGTGCTGAGATGATAGCTGTTGGAGCATATAAATTTTTTGTATGAAATCAAACTTTTCAATATCATGGGTTAGCCCACTTGATTAGCACATTCGGTCAAGAAACAAATTCATGTGAAAGCCAATATCGTACCAGAAGCTGGAAGCAACTTTTGAATTTATCATGCATGTATGTGCAAAATTTAGTCATTTTGCCTTGAAGATAGAAATTATTGTATTATTATATTCATCTGCCAAAAACATTTGAAAGTGAATTCAATTAACTAAAAGTGAAGCTTATTTGACCATATGCTTACTAATAAAAATTGAACTAGGCCTTATCAAAACTCTCTGGTTTACAGCAAACATGTATGTTATCCAAAGTCTAAGGAATTATTTTAAATGCAATAATGTGACTACAGATTTGTTTATTTTCATCTGTTTACGTCATGTAGGTACCAATCGTTCTGGATTGAGAACAAATTGTTATTTGTGGATATTTGATTTTGTGGTTTTGCCAAAGTCTGCAAAAACGCTCTCTGAACATTTAGATATGGGATTTACCTACATGTATACTCACAAATCCACAAAAATTCATATGCCACAAATAATAAAGAAACAGACCATGATCATTGACATTGACACCTGAAAAATGAATGGTTGTGAAGAAGGAACTAGTGAGATGTCAAATTCATAAAGCGGTTGAATGGTATAACAAATATTTTATGCCCCCATTGTCACCGGAGGGGGCATTAAGTGTTACCCTAGTCCGTCCGTCCCGAAATTGGTTTCCGTTCTCTAACTTTAGTTTGCCTCAACCAAATGTTATAAAAGTTATACTGAATGCTTAGTTCTGCTTATTACCTCAAAATAAAGATCAAGTACGAATTTGTGTGGCGTCACTTTTACCGTTCTTGAGTTATGCCTCTTTATAACATTATATGCAAGCATTATCTGTGTCACATGGACACATTCTCAATTTTTTCGGCATATTTTGGGCTCAGACATATGTAAAGTACCAGTTTCAATCAGTTTCAGTGGAAATATCTTTTGCAGAATTGGGGAGCAAAATAAAAATATATATGATGATGCTAAGCAGGTATTCCTTTGAAAGATTATTGAACTTAGTAAAAAGTGGCTCAAGTTCAACTAATTACTAGTACAAAAGCCGAAAAAGGACTATGTACTTGTAATGTTGAAATTTTAATTATTAATTTGAAACAGGATGTTTGAAGTTAATAAAAGGATGTGATAATTTACTTTCTTATTCTGAATACAGGCCAAACGTCTTCAAAGATGTTTTATATTTTTATTTTAATTAGATGAAGAAGTGGCAAGTAGGGTATTTTTTATATTCTTTGGTTTAACTTTTGTAATTTGAACTAACAGGATCCCGATGTGATCCATTTCCACAGATATAACCTGTAAGTTCAAATTGCAAAGTTTTACTTGTTTTTATTATTGTTTATGAATTTTTCATGTTAAACACATTATATTGCATGTTATTTATATTCATGCAGTACATACATGTATTGCAGTACGTACATGTATATACTATTTGTAATATACACATATTTAGAACAAGATGTCATAAAGACTATAATAAATATTCTCTTATTGAAATGGAATCTCTTTTTGTCATTGGTCAAGATTAATATTTGTCCTATGCACATGAATTTCATGGCAGTTTTTTTCTCTAACACATTATTTTGCCAACTTTCTTTAGAGTGTAAATTGGTTTTTGATTTAATTTTTTGTGCATGTTTTTTTGTCCATTTAATTTGGATGCCAAAAACAAGTTATAACAGTTACAACAATACATGATTTTTTTACTAGAAATATGATACCTTAATTATTCTTTTTTAAGCCTACTGTCAGTAATTTAACTATAAACATAGGAATTTGCCAAATGTATTTATTTTATCTTGTATTTGAATGACAGAATATTGGGAAACACTGTATCACATTCCTGTACATACCAATATATACCTAAATAAACATTGTTGTCATGTTTCTGTGGGTTATAATTAGCCAATTGTATGCAAAACACTTAATTTCATTTTAATGGTAGTCTAATGATAGTCAATGGAAATGTATATTTTTCAGAATGATTGCTTTATGTATAAGGAAAAAAAAATAACATTCATAAATATTTTAATTTTCATTGAATGTTTGCTTTCATAAAATATTCTTCTTATTCTATAAATTTTAAGTGCCAAAAAGGAACTTTTCAGCAGAATGTGGGGGGGGGGGGGGGGGGGGGGGGGGGGGCTTGAGTTCAAAAGTGTTGAAACACAAAATTGTATCACTTTAAAATTTTACAATTAAAAGTAACATTTATTTACCTCATAAATGAACAGAAAGAAATAAAAAGATTGTTCATTTATACTTTCAGTGAAGTGCCCATTGTTTCAGCGAGGGCCAATGTAATGTTATATGATGACGCAAGTAAGAAATGGGTTCCTGCGGGCACTGCCCAGCAGCAGGGTTTATCAAAAGTACAGATTTACAGACACACAGGAAACAATACATTTCGAGTTGTTGGTAGAAAAATGGCCAATCATGAGGTTAGTAACCCTGGTAAAATTTAATTTAGATAATATTGTAAAACTTATTCATGGTTGATGGGAATCTAATTTTGATAAGGTAGATATGATAGCCAAAGAGAGCAAGAATATTGACCTTTTGACATTACTTTTTTTTTTCTACATGCAAGTATTTCCAGGAATGATTTTGATTAAAACACAAACAATATTTTTATTTCAAGACAATGATGCATTTTTAGATATAGCAAAAATTTACCTTAGATCTATCAGAAATTTCATTGCAATAGTTAAAAAAATAAAAACAACACGTTAAATAATTTCATGTGTCCAAAGCGCTTTTTTCTGGATTTACCTTCATCAGGAACGCTCAAAGTCAAATATTTGACAGCCAAGGATGTGTAAGAACCGTAACAGTTGATATTCAAAAGATGCAACCTTAACTTTCTCTTGCTGAGCCTGTATTTAACTTGGCTAGATCCAAACTCAGCTTTAAAGGCAATTAGCTTGCTGTTTTGCTATTGTGAGACTGCCATATGTGTGTCCTAGATTTATGACAAGCCATCATGGTGTTTAATACTTTAAAAGGTATTTTTTAAGCAGATTTATTTTCAAAGTGAAGACATGTGTTGTCAACCCGATCTTTCTATTCGAAAGTTTTAAAACAGAAGAAATCAGCAGAAAATTGGACTGCTATTGCCCCTGACTTTACAAATCTTAGTCCTCTTTGGACCTTCCAGCAAGTTGGTATAATTTTGATAACCAGTTATATTTGAAAAAAAATATGTATATTTGGTTAAATATGTCAGTTGTAACTGTTGGCAGTGTCAACAGAAAAAAAATGTACATATTGAAATTTTCAGTAACTTGATTCAGGAAGGATTTTTCCCAAAGCCTAAGCCAAACAATACTGAAAGCTTTTATCTACGAGAAACGAATCAGGAAGATACTTAAGTAAATCTGACGCACCTGTGAATAGTACTTCCTTTATAGCGGAAACCTTGTTTCCTTCATAAGTTAACTTAATTAGATAAAATTGTGGAGAACAAGGCAACAATCTTTGTGAAAGGTTATGACAATTATAAAGTTTTGTAGAAACTCAGAAATGCTGGCATGAAAAAGATATAAATGTTTGAAAAAGGTACTTAAGTCTATGTTTTTTTCCTTATGATTTTTTTTTATTCAAAAAATATCACAGGTGCAGAAAATTCCTGATACCACTTTGCTTTTGCTTTTATGTGCTTTTTGAAAATAATTGTAATCCTTAAATTTTTATAAGGTTTTAAAATGAATCATTTTGATATCACAATATAACATCCCGAAAAACTATGTTAAAGACAAATTGAGGGTTTAAAATTTGCAATTAATTAAGATTAAGAATGTTGCTAATGTTCATGCTATCAAATCATCACTAGTTTATTTAAGGGCTGTTCCAATATTAATTGCGGTGGAGGGGATAGGAGGCATTCTAATTAGTTAATTGTGGTTGGTTGCAATTTCCTTAGAACTTTTTAAGAATTGTAAGTAAAATGAAAATTTAATATAATTATTATGGATGGTTGCCTGGCTGGGATATTAAAAAAAAAGTGTCTCCCAAGCCCTCCATGTGTTTAATTCTGGAACAGCACTTGGGTGTTTAGCATTGTTAAATATATATAATTCAAATCAATCTTATTAAAATTAAACCCTTTAATTGCTCATTTCATTCTGATATGTTTAGATGCAAGACTTATCAGAATGGAAGCAATTAAAGGTTGAATTTTATTAGATTGAATTCAAATTCACCTTTTTCAAAATATTGAAAATCTTTAAATTTCATTCATATGATGAGTTGCATTAAAAAATGATGTTTGACAATGAATAATTATAATTTCTATTTTTAAAAAAAGTTGATAAATAGTTCAAAACTTAAAAGGATGACTAAAGTTAAGAATAGAATTAGTTCATGAAGACCTTATATTAAGTATATATATATATTTGTATTATAGGTAGTGATAAACTGTTCTATACCAAGGACTCTTAAATATAACCAAGCTACACCTACATTCCATCAATGGAGAGATCAGAGACAAGTTTATGGGTTAAATTTTGCAAACAAGGAAGATTCAGAAAGTTTTGCTCAAGCAATGAAATCAGCACTAGATACATTACAACGTAAGTTTGAAGACAAAAAGGGATCCATAGCTTATATACGAGATAGCAAGTCATCATTTTCAAGAGTTCTTGATATTTTTTTTGCCCTGCAAATTCCAAAATTATGTCAGTCCTTGCAATTTTTGGTGGTCCACGAATTTTCGAGAACTCTGCATTTTCTCCCTAGACATACCTGTACTGTAGATTCGTCATTAGATACCAATATTTGTTGATTTCGTGGATGTAGGTGAACTTTGAATTTAAATGGTCAACAATGTTAAATTGTCTATAAGTTTGTATGCAGACTTTAGTAAAACCATGAAATCAAGTATCCTCGAACAAAATTTTTTTTTCCTAAATCAACGAAAATTTGGTACACATGTAAATAAATGAATCTACTGTATATATTTTTTTAAACAGATCCAGAAAAAAAGTTGATATTTCTGTGTGCCTTCAGTGATCTCCCGCAGGCCGTTTTAGCGTCGCGGCACCGTGACACTATAATTGTTTTCCTTGACGCTATAATATTTTGAGGATGCTATATTTTCTTGTCTCTTTACATTGCCACAAAATCGATGTCCTAATTTTTAAACTTTCGACTAATTACCGCTTATGATCATAATAATTATATCATCTTTAATTGTAATCCCTTCAAGTCGGACAATAGAGGCAATTAAGAGTGATTAGATGGGTATTAATTGCCCTTTGGGTGATAACTGTGTGGATACAAATACCCCAAGCAGACACTTATGACATGACTAATATCACATGGTCCAAATGCAAATTTTAACATCAAGAAAATGGAATAAAAAATTCATAAACAATTCGAAATCTACGTTTGCACCATGGCATAACCGTCTCCTAAGAGAAGAAAAACTATGCAGGGTACCTCGTTGTTGACAAAATGGCTGACCAAACCAAGTTGTACAAATACGCATTTATTTCAAGTCGATTAAACAGCTTTTTTTCATTTATAAGTAAAGAAATTCAAAGATATATACAATTTATTTCTGTAGAAAAGAGGTGAAAGCACTGAATTTACAGATTGGTCGTATATTATTTCAAACTAACAACTTATAAAGAAGTATTTTCTTTCCCTTCCCTTACTTGTTACTCGAGAGCGTACATTTAACATTCTGATTTTCGGCAAAATAAGTTTAATACTTCATTAGAACGTGATGAAAATTGCCTTTTGTTAATGTTTCATCCATTTATTGCATTAAAAGTGTCATATTCATTCCAAATTGCTTGTCAAACATGGTTTATTTTCGTTAATTTTTCTTCGACTGCCATTGAAATATTTGTTCAAACTACGGATCGGATGTGGGATTCATCGGAAGCGGACAAGCTATGACCAAAATCCGCATTTTTACGATAATAACTACAGACGCACGAATGACACAGCTAACAGAATAATAATGATCCAAAAAAGGAAAACTACGCATTCTACATGCATTAGCAGACCTCCTTGCTAAATGTATTGTTTCAATTTACTGATTAAAGAAGCTTAACTTTGTTAAAAATATATATCTTTTTGATGAGAAACAACTGGGACTAATACATTGAGTCCCAGGAAACAATGAATTTCATAAACATCATAAACAGAATAGTTTTTTGATTGAAATTTTATTAACATATGATACTTTCTTTTCCTTTTTGATATAAAAATTTTATTTTTTTTGTACTAGATATTTAGTTGTAGTTTCTGACATGAGGAAAAATATAATTCTGTAAGAGGAAAAATATAATTCTGTAACTGTTAATGAATATTGAAGATATAAACTGAAACAACTGTTATACTTTAATTGTATTCTTAGTAATGAATTGAACAATATAAACATTACTTAAAGGAAATAGAGCAATGCCGTGACGCGACAAATGACATTGAAAAGAAATACAATATATTTTTTTACGCCAAATGTGATTCTATCCAAAATTTCTGGGGAGAACACTGGCCTTGCTAATTTTCAAGTTAGGCTTCTAATGACAGGAAACAATATTTAAAGGAGACTTTATGTCCTTCTTTAGCTTATGTTTTACTGTTGGAAAAAAAAAAGTCAAAGTGACTATATTTCTATAGTTTACCCTAGTCGACCCTTGGGGTCTTTAACACAAGTATATTTCTATTCTGCTTTGTAAGTTTCCAAAAAGTCAGTTACATCTAGGCCAAGATAGACCGTCTCATGTTAAAAATAAAGAGTGCATAAGTGTTGGGTTATACTGTCATTTCCAGTGAAAAAAGTAAAGTAATGTGTACCCTTCCGGAGCACCTGAGATCACCCCAGGTATTTGGTGGGGTTCTTGTTGCTAAGTCTTTAGTTTTCTATGTTGTCTCATTGGCACTCATACCACATCTTCTTATATCTATGTGTTTTGTATTCTGCTGTTTGTCTTTTGGTCTTTTCCTTTTTTCCCATGGCGTTGTCAGTTTATTTTTGACTAATGAGTTTGAATGTCCCTTTGGTATCTTTTGCCTCTCTTTTAGGCAAAATACTGTAATTCATTGACTTACAATTGAATTTTTGATAAATAGTGATGATCATTTTCATTATTGAATTCTGTGCTGATATTTCAAATTGAATGTATTTTAGCCAAAGAAGTTCAAAAAGGTAAATTTTCACTTTTTAGAATAAAACTTTTGTTGCCTGCCATGTCAACAAGGTCCATAAAGACTGCTTTTCTATATCTTTATGTATTTGTAATAACAAACACAAAGAATTTATTTATTTCAATATATATATGCTTTTAATTCATGCTGAGATAAAAAAAAGTGGGACATTTTTTTTAACCAAAAATGAGAACTGAATTATTTAACATGATTTTTCACTAAAAAGACTTACTTATTAAATGAATAAAAAATTTTTAATTGTGTTGTGGATATGTTTGCTTTTGGAGAATTTCTTTAAATAATGGTAGATAAGTTTGATACATGTTGCTGGATTTAAATTTATTTCAAATGCCGTTTTGTAGCAAAATCTAAAAGGATAAACTTTTGGTGAATATTAAATTACATGACCTAATTATGACTTCATCGTCATGATCGTAAAGGTTTCACCCAAATAACTTTTGGTACCGTAATATACCCTACTGCATATAAGATCATTAATGAATATTCATATTTGACCAATGAATTCAATACAAAATAATTGTCAACATGGTCAAATCTCTGAAGAATTGAAGATTTGTAAATCGTCAAAATTTTCCCAATTGCCTTCAGTTTTTGACATCTAAATTTTTTTTTAATCTGAACTGAAAAATCTAAAACATTTTATTTTCCTACAGATTTTCTTTTCGACTTGGCATTATATATCTATATCTATATCACAGAGATGTTGGCATTATATATCTATATCTATATCACAGAGATGTTTGAAATAAACAGTCGCTATCCCTTCTGATATAATGGATGGCATTCTAATCCAGCTACATGTATCATAAGCATTAGTTGTTGCTATTCAGGAAGAGAGAAGTTCAACAAATTGACTGTTTTTGTTGAGTTTGTCATGTTCATATATTTTAAGATATGATTGATTGATGTTCGTTTAACGTCAAGTGGTGATCTTGCCTTCACATTCAGGATAAAGAGATATTGAAAGGGTCTGAATTTTCTTAAACTAAAATTTCCGAATGAAAATTAAGATTTAGAGAGCAGTATGCTTAAACTCTGAATTGTACATGTATAAATATGAAAATGATTGCCAATGAAACAACTCTCCATAGGAGACCAAATGAAGTAGAAGTTCATAGCTATAGGTCACTGTATGGCCTTCAACCATGAGCAAAACCCATACAAGCTATAATAAGCCCTGAAATGGCAAATGTAAAACAATTGAAATGAGAAAACTAAGGACCTATTAGCTTTTTTTGTTGATTTATTTATAGTGAACAGAGAAGTAAACAAAATTAGTAAAGATTGATATCAATATATAAGTATAGATATCCTATGTAGTTGTATGTATCAGGAAATCAGCATTGTTTGTATCAAAGTAGTGAACTGGAAACTTTTTCCTGTATAGATAAACTTACTAGTTATATAACTATGGGTCATTGTTTTACTGCCTGTGATTTCAATTCCCCTTTAGTTTACATGAAGAAAAGGAGTTGTAGCTTGAATGGCAGCGAGACAGCAACCTAACAAAAACAAATATCTAGAAGTAAAAGATAGACAAGTGTGTATAACATACCGTATTAATTTGTTTATACATGTACCACCAAAAGGCAATTGTAAATGATTTATAGCCAAAGAAGACATATCCAAAGGAAATAAAAATCTAGAATCTTAGCCATACATATATAGATACTTTCCTTTTTACTGAAAAACATTTTGACCTTTAGATGTAAGTTATAGTGTTGCTGTCTCATAAATATATATCAAACAACTCCTTTTATTCATGTAAACGATAGCAGAATAGAAAATACAAGTTTTCAGGAAAACAATGAACTACAGTAACATGACTTTTAACATCTTCTTTGAATCATGAACAGACCTCTACAGAAAACAGTGTTATTTTTGTTGACTTTGAAAAATTTAATTGTAACATATAAATTTATATGTGTAGTAATTATAAAAATAAGGAGATGTGGTATGATTGCAGATGATTAAACAACTTTCTACCAGAGACCAAATGAGGTATATATCAACCTATGGCGGTCAACAATGAGCAAAACCCATACATTATAGTAAGCTATAAAATGCCCCAACTTGACAAAATAACTTTTGTTTACTTTGAAAATCGAAATGTAACATGAAAATTCTCTATGCATTATATTTTTAATGTATCAGTTGCCATATTAGGAAAAAGGTAATAAATTATGTTTTATTTGAGTGTGAGATGGTCAATCTATTTTCAAACCAATAATATAAACAGATATTGACTACATCCTGGAGTGGTTAAGAGAAAACTATTAAGAGTAGACTGTAAATAAACAAATAAGTGATTGTCAAATAAGTCAATCATAGAAGCATGGGAAGACTGTTTTAAATTGTTTTTCTCATACAAGCTTTCCAATTACTTCCTGAATTCAATATGAATATGTAAAATGGAAATTGTCTTGCTTAATTTCAGTGAAATAATTGAGGTATTGTTAAGTCATAAAAACTTTTCACCTTGATATTGTGTTTCATGGTTTTATACTACATGACATAAAGAGTTAAATGAAAATGCAGGGTTTTAAAGTTTTATTGTTCTTAATTTTATGCAGTAAAAATTTTAACCTTAAAAACTTTAGATAAGAAACTCATTGTTATTCAAACACAAGCTTATTCCTATCGGATGCAAGGGATGGGTTTCTTCCCCCACATAGGCTAGAATAGAGAGGAATTGTAGAATTATCAGAGTTTGAAACTCACTCAATACATTCTTGCTTAATAAAATTGTTGCCATCTAGAATTCTACAATTATTTCTTCGAATTAAAAAAAAACAATTGTTTATTTCATCATAAGTGGTTTGATCTTTTTAGCAATGATACAAGGTTTTTTGAAATATGTGGAAAGGTCTATTGACATTGAAACGTTTGCATAGTTCACAACTTAACATGTTTCATTTTGTGTTAAGGTCAGTTTAACAGGAACCACTTATGATAAGTCAGTGGTATTTGGCATGCTGTTTTATTAGCATAGGCACATTTCATTTCAATGGAGATTATTTGGATGGGCACCTGCAGTCATGATGAATTGACTTTGAATGTTTTGCATAGTTTACATGTTGTAAAAAGTATTGCCATTTGCTATTTTAATTTCAATATTTGCATTATACCGGTACTCAAAATTACTTAAAGGTCAGACATATCTTTGTGTCAACAGTTATATTATTTTTATTCCCTGCCTTCTGTGTGTAAGTTCAGTAGCAGAGGCATTATGTTTTCTGGTTTGTGCATCTGACAGATATTGTGTATGTTATTCAGTTAGTTTGTCCCATACCAGATTTTTTTATTTACCTTATTTTACAAGGAAGTTGGGGTCACATCAACCAGAAACTTGGTACAGATGGCAATTTGATATGAACTTTTAAAATTATTATATTTATACCCTGTTTCCTGTTTCACTGATAATAAAATGTGATTGTTGGAAATCAGTAAATTTTCAGGTTAAAGTTTTTGGTTAAGGTAGTTTACTGTGAAGCTATGATATCATCAACTTTAAATTTAGTTCACATGTTTGCTGTAGCTATATTGGGTGTTGGGCATCTTGTCTTATGGGCCCACATTCTTTCTTCATATTTGCTTTGTAAATTTTGTTTATTTATTTGCATTGTTCAGTTCTAAAGTATACATTCAGGTTACTTGGGACAGAAAAAAAGTGCATAGGTCATATTTCAATTATTTGTTGCAGTAAATTACTAATAAGGTAACTATAGGTAAATAGATCTTGTTTGTTTTGGCAGTTAAAAATTGGAAATTTTCTGGTTTTAAACAGTTGAAGACTGTGTCAGAAGAAGAGCTGGATTTATTATGAGGTATTACTGCTAGACATGAAGTTACTTGCCTTAACACACAGTTAAATTTTAAGATTGTGAATTGTAACCAATTTTCATATCATATGAAAGTTTGTGACTACATCACATGACATAAATTTAAACCAATAAAAAATTAGCAACCTCGTTGTCACTGTTTTAATTCAGAGACTGAATAAATAGATAAGAAAGAATAAATTCTTGAATAAATGTTTTAATTGACTGTTTAAATTAATTCTATTTTTTTTTCAGAATTGGCTGGACAACATCCACCACCAGGGCAAGTACCACAACCTTATAATGCACCACAGCATGTACATGAAGAACCGGAAAGGTTAGTACTGGATAATGAGTGTCATGATGATTATAGCTTCCTGAAATGATATCTAATATTTCTTAATTTGTAATTTTTCATCTCAGCTGTTTAACAAGTGAAAGCAATAACCAACAATACACTTATTGAATATATACATGTAAAAAATAAATTTACAGGATGTAAGAAGAATACTGAAATCACAGAAAATGTGTTTTTGCTAACTGGGTTTTCCGAAAGGAAAAATCAAGTTATTGTTGAAGTATGGTGGGCAGATGGCTGCCAAAAGTTTTCTTGCAATAACTTTTGAACCATTCAATTTTCATGAATAAGGAAACATTTTACTTTTGTGGTATTACAAAAAGTCTGCATACATGTACAAGCCTATAGAAAATTTGTATTTTGTTAAAATGTTTAAATTCATGATTCACCTGTAGCCAAGAAATCCACATAAATTGGTATCCCACGAATAATAATTATTCTGCAGTAGATAGTCTTCTTAGAACAGATACCTGAAATTGCATAGAACGCCTTGGCTATAGGCTGCTGAATCATATATTGCAGTATTCAGTGAAATAAATATTTACAAGAATCAAACCCCCGATTTCTTTAATCATGTGATTTGTTAAAATCATATTTCTGTTTACAGGCATCCACCACATCCAGGTCATGTGAGACATCCATCAGGGGGAGGTAAGCCTGTTTTGAATATGTTTGTAATTTTAATAAAACTCCTGAATAATCAGGAACACACTTAGATTAATCTGAAAATACTATGTAAAGGACATGAAGTTCATTAAGTAGCAGCTTCCTTATATATTCATTATTCATACATGATGGATTAATTTAACAGAAGTATGTATAAGAGAATCTAATGGATTAGAGACTGTCATTCTGACGAGATAATTTATATACTCATCCAGAATCTGTCTAATTTCATTAAGTTAATTGGTCATCAGATAGACATACACGAAATTTAATTAAAGGATCAATGATGCACCAAACTTTTTATAAAATTTTATTAGATTAAAAGGAATCATTCATTTGTATTGCCAGGACCTTATGGAATTTTCGTGTTGTCAGATATATTGTAGAATGTTTAATTGTCTTGGGGTTAAAATGTCATCATGATGTCTTGTAAGATGGATCTAATTGGGATTGATTTTCGTTGTTTTTGTTTGAGAAAATTATCTTTTAAATAAGAGAAAATTTCTGCTTTTACAGTAGTTTTTGTGAAAACTTAACCTCTATATGGCATCGTCAACTGAATAGAATAAAACAAATATTTGTGCCTGTTGCCAACTTTCAACTGATATGCATGACATCAATATATCTCATGCATAAGCAAGACGAAATATAAACAAGTCATGTAATAACATATTATACAAGTAAACTGTGTCAAGATATTAGTAGTAAGTAGGATAATTTGTAATTATGTGGTTATGTTTGAATGTATTCATATTTCCACTGTCTTCTATCAAGACCAATACCTCCTAACTTATTTTTTTTCAGTTTCTCAATATAGCAAGGGTGTATTTTATCGACAGTCCTCAATACCTAGTAATGACTCTAACTATTATACTATGACTGATCAGCAGTTGTTTTCAAGAACTCCGAGTGATCCACAGTACTATGTTACACCCACTTTTTACCCTGCTTCTCAGCCATTTAATGTCATAGGAGAACCTGATGAGGATAATGAATATTGTACTTCTGACAGTACTCCTCAGCTGCAGCACCATATGCAGTATGACACAAACTATTCTGTTTCAACTTCTCAAAATGATCCTTATTGCTCTAGCCAACAAGATAGTTATTATAATCCATCTGTTTCAGCTCCACAGTATAGCCAGCCAGCTCCTCCGCAGCCACAGTATACACAACCTACAGCTTCTCAGGCTCCCCCTCCAGCACCAGGGCCACCACCTGCTGCTGTCCAAGCCCCTGCTGCACCCCCTGCTCCCCCAGCACCACCTGCTCCCCCTGCAGCACCACCAGCACCTCCTCCTGGCCCAGGAGTACCACCACCTCCAGGACCAGGTGTGCCACCACCTCCAGGACCAGGAGTACCACCACCTCCAGCTCCACCACCAATGCCAGGTGCAGGGTCAAGTCCAGCTAAATCAGGAGGAGGTGGTGGTGGAGGAATGGGATCTTTGGCAGAAGCTTTAGCAAAGAAGTCAGGGGCCCTGAAACATGTCGATCCCAATGTGAGTATTACGAAATACTGTGAATTCATTTTTTTTTCTTGGGAATTTTTGTTCAACAAAATACAAACTTTGTATTTACTTTGTATGCAGAAATTGTTAAAACCAGGAAAAAAATCATGTATCCAAATATATATACCATTTTTCCTTGATCCACAAAAATTTTGTTTTCTTAAAGTCTGGTGTATCTAATTACTGTTTCAGTACTAGTGAATATTTTTATTTTATCCATCACTATTCAAACAAATAGAAGGTAATTGTCTACCAAAAGGTTCAATTAAAGCAATAAAAGCTCTTTTCCTTGGCTTTTTGTGTGTTTATTTTACTGTGCATGTACTGATTTTGTGTCATGGATAGATACCCCATATCCTTTGCTTTTCTATCAGAATTCAGAATGTCTTGTAGAAGAAATGCCTTTTCTTATTGGGATTCAATAGCAACAGAATAGTTCAATGTTCCAGCCAATTATTTTCAGAATAAATATTTCAGAATTAAGATGTCACATAAATATTGTAAGGAATTAAATATACTTAACACAATACAAATTTGTTTTGCATATTAGTAGTATTATCAGCATCGTATAAAAGTACAATAACCTCCAGTTAAAACTTATATTTATTTTTCCTTTTAGGATAATTCTGCCAGACCATCATCAGCTGAACCTGGTAGTAGAGGGTCTAGTTCTAGTACTGGTAGCGGAGGTGGTGGAGGGGGTGGGGACTTCATGTCAGAACTACAGAAAAAGTTGAACAGAAAGAAAAATGATGCCGAAGGTGTACCACAGCCTGCACCAGAAATTAAGGTAAGTTTATTTATTTTATAGTTTGACAGCTGACTACTTTCAGTTATAATGAAGCGGCTCGGAGGCAGAGTCGTGAAAGTATTTCATCTATAGTAATGACTATAAAAATAAGAAGAAATGTTATGATTGCCAATGAGAAATCTATTCACCACAGACCAAATAATGTAGATGTTAGCAACTAAAGGTCACTGTCCTAGGCTGTCAACACTGAGATTGTGACTTTGAACAAAGCATAAGCAAGGTGTGTACAACTCTTGATCTTTGTAGACTAGGACTGCATTCACTCTGAGACTTGAACAATATTAAAACAAGATGTAGAGAGTCTTATAACAACAACACTTTACGGACTGCTGCATAAATTTATTGATCGACATGTTTCGGTGCCTAGGGCACCGTCATCAGGATAAAAACAATACATAAAATCATGTTGAAGTACAAAATCGGGTTGTTAAAATTTAAACGTCACAATGTTGCAATGGTAAGTAACGTTATTAATAGCAACGTACTGAAAGTGAAAGTGAAAGTTCATTGTAAGTATGTAAATAAACTATAAAAAGAAATTAAAAAAATAAAGTGTTTTTGTTGTGAAAATGTTTGTTAAAATTATTCTGCCAACATGTGTTTGTCCTCTTGCATCGTGGAAGGAATAATACAATAAGTTGTCAGGCTGTGTATAGACTGTATAGGTTGTGTGGTCTGAGTGTTCTGTTAACTTTCTTCCCCAAAATAGACGACATTTTATCAGCAATTCCGTACCATTTCGACTGGCTTTATTATTAAAACAAGTTTAATTGAACATTTTATCTTCAATTATAAAGTATCAATGCATTAATGTTGAAAACACTTGAAGCTGATTATTGGCTTTTGAATAAAGAATTGAATGTATGTCATACAACTGATTTGTTTTTATTACAAAGATGTAAACAATAAAACTAACGTACACAAAGCCTATTGTACTGCCTTGATTGACAGCTTTCTGCTAAAGTATAGTTCTCTATAAAATATGTTATCTTCCTCGTCCAATAAAAACTAACTGCCAAGTGTGCTGAAAATGGCGTTAGACACCAACAATCAATCAATCAATATAATAACTGTTTCAGGAGTCAGCTTCAACAAACAGTCTAGACAGAAGACAACGAGATAGATCATCTGGTCCTCCAACAAACAGAGTTCCACCTACAAATAATGGAGCAGATTCTCCTAAAGGCAGAAGGTAATTTATAGTTTTGTACAAGAGGCTCAAATTGTATTTTTGTTAACAAGGCTCAAGGACTTTAAAAAATGGATTGGAAAATCCTGAGCTGTATTTTTTTCTTTTTTTTTTAAAGAAAACCTAGGCAAAATATATATTGATTGTTTGCAGTTTTGGTTTTGCATAATTACTACATTAAAAAGATATTATGATATAATGTTCTTTAAAATTTACTTTGTGTAAACAGGCAAGATATTCACATGCAAATTTCAATGTTTCTGTTATTCGGAGACACAATGAATTTCATATGTATTTCGACTGTATTTTTAGCAGTTTAAAACCATTTGCTTCTCCATCATTTAAGTGAGTAAAATATTCTGGTTCTAAGAAATAAACTTTCTACTCAACTCACTGCTTTTTATACGACCGCAAAAATTGAAAATTTTTTGGTCGTATATTGGTATGACGTTGGCGTCGTCGTCGTCGTCGTCGTCGTCGTCGTCGTCCGGCGTCGTCTGGCGTCGTCCGAAGACACATTGGTTTTCGCACTCTAACTTTAGTTTAAGTGAATGGATCTCCATGAAATTTTACCATAAGGTTCAATACCATGAAAGGAAGGTTGGGATTGATTTTGGGGGTTATGGTACCAACAGTTAAGGAATTAGGGGCCAAAAAAGGGGCAAAAAACAAGCATTTTTCTAGTTTCATGACAATAACTTGTGTGTAAGTGTTTGGATATTTCTGAAATTGTACTACAAGGTTCCATATCACAAAGGGAAAGCTGGAATTGAGTTTGGGGGTAATTGCCCGAAACGTTTAGGAATTGGGGGCCAAAAAGGGGCCAAAAATAAGCATTTTTCTAGTTTCCAGACAATAACTTGTGTTCAAGTGTATGGATCTCTCTGAAATTGTACTGCAAGGTACCATACCACAAAGGGAAGGCTGAGATTGAGTTTGGGGGTGATGAATCATAAGGGGGTTCAAAAAATTTTGGGGGGGGGATTTTTTTTTTCTTTTAAAATTTTCCATTTTAAGTTGGTTATTTCTGATTTATATTTAAAAGCAAATAATAATGATATGGTAGGAGATACACACCAAACAGGATGTGTAAATTATTATATAATAAGTATTGTGCAATAGCAAGAAATTTTCAATTGCACAGTATTGCACAATAGCAAGAAATCTTCAATTGCACAGTATTGCGCAATAGCAAGAAATCTTCAATTGCACAGTATTGCGCAATAGCAAGAAATATCCAATAGCACAATATTGCGCAATAGCAAGAAATTGTCAATTGTACAGTATTGCGCAATAGCAAGAAATAATCAATTGCACAGTATTGTGCAAAAGAAGATACTTCGTATAAATTGCTTATTTCTTGATCAATTTCAATGGGGTTTTATTCTTGAATTCTTGGGGTTCTTTAATATGCTGAATCTAACCGTGTATTAAGTTTTTGGATTTTGGGCCCCGTTTTTAAATTGGTCCACATTGAGGTCCAAAGGGTCCAAAATTTTACTTTGTTTGATTTCATCAAAAATTGAATTATTGGGGTTCTTTGATATGCCGAATCTAACCGTGTATTTAGATTCTTAATTTTTGGTTCTGTTTTCAAATTGGTCTACATAAAGGTCCAAAGGGTCCAAAATTAAACTTAGTTTGATTTCAACAAAAATTGAATATATGGGGTTCTTTGATATGCTGAATCTAACCATGTATTTAGATTTTTGATTATGGGCCCAGTTTTCGAGTTGGTCCAAATCGGGGTCCAAAATTAAACTTTGTTTGATTTCAACAAAAATTGAATATATGGGGTTTTTTGATATGCTGAATCTAACCATGTATTTAGATTTTTGATTATGGGCCCAGTTTTCAAGTTGGTCCAAATCGGGGTCCAAAATTAAACTTTGTTTGATTTCAACAAAAATTGAATATATGGGGTTCTTTGATATGCTGAATCTAACCATGTATTTAGATTTTTGATTTTTGGGCCCTGTTATCATTTTTGTCCACATTGAGATCAAAAGGGTCCAAAATTAAACTTTGTTTGATTTCATCAAAAATTGAATTCTTGGGGTTCTTTGATATGCTGAATCTAACCATGTATTTAGATTTTGGATATTGGACCATAATAGGTGAATGTCCAATTTAAAATTTTTAAGTTCTTAGACCACATTCATTCTGTGTCAGAAACCTATGCTGTGTCAAATATTTAATCACAATCCAAATTCAGAGCTGTATCAAGCTTGAATGTTGTGTCCATACTTGCCCCAACTGTTCAGGGTTCGACCTCTGCGGTCGTATCAAGCTGCGCCCTGCGGAGCATTTTATTGTCTGATTCATTTCATTTTTTCATATTTCCAGTAAATTTGTACTTTTAACAATATTTTATTTGTGGAGAATTGATGAATTCAAATTTATATAAATAGAAAATAAGTATGACTTGTTATGATCAAATTTACTTCATTATACAATACAATAAAGTTTATTATTTATACTGAAATTTGTTTCCTGCCATATACAGGTATAGATCTTGTGCAAACAGAAAACACTAAATTCTATATCATACTATCCACATTAATTTCCAATTTGTGCTAAGACAACAAAAACAACAAGATGTCAACCAGTGTTTAATTGAAAATGCCAGTCATTACAAAACAGAGATTTTCTTCAAATCTGGCACTATCATTTCACATGAAACTGACTTTGCATGATTAAAATCTGTGATGCATCTTTAAATTCCTCAAAATACACATAATTCAATTTATGCAGCTAGCTGTCTTTATTATTAAAATAATAAAATGCAACATTCCTTCAATTAAACCTATTGACTTCCTTTGTCAATTGAAATTGTTACACCTTAGAAAATGTAACGTGATCTGTTATCGTACTTCCTTATTTGAATTGAAGTACAATCAAGAGATCTCAATTAAAGTAATTTTCACACACACTCACACTTGTGTACTTAAGCATGTAATTCTATAGTTTTGAAGACCTTTCTCCAAGGTACTTCACTAAATTTCTTATGGTTATTACTTTTGCCAATGCAAATGTATGAATATCCAATATGACTGAAAGTTATAGCTGAAATATAGGTAGAAATAAAAGGTAATATATGTATGTTTTGTTCTCCACAAACAAGGAAACGTATCTTCATTGTTCTTTATACATGCTGAAGTATTTTAGCTGTAATAAATACATTGTATAACATGTACATTAAACCAGTAAACCAGTATTGATTAAATTATCTATTTTGTAATTAATACTTTTGGCCTTTTAGCTATTTACTGCCTGAATTTAAACAATTTTGAATTATCTGGTAGATATTAAATAGTCATAAAATCTCTATGCGAGTACTTTCAACAAATTGCATTATAGTATTAGTAGTTTCAGAAGGTCATGAAATTATTTTATCATGATAATTCGTTAATTAAATTTTTATTAAGGCTGCTATTTTCTTGCAATTTGTATGTTTACTGCGTACAAATTAGTGGATAAAATTTTGGCTGTAGTTTTATTTCACATTGTATAGGCAATAAATTGAAGGCAGCCTAAAGTTTATTGATAAAATTTTATTGATACAAGTATAAAAGTAACATGATGATTATACTTTTAAATGTGTGTAATGTTCATGTTTACTAGGAGTAATGCTAAATGATGTATTTTTTATGTTTATAGGAGAAAAGACTCGTTAAATCCACCTCCAGAACAGTTATCAAATGGACCAACAAATTCAGCATTAGACAATTTAAAAATAGAAATTATGAATGAAGTACGACTGGAACTACAGAAAGTCAAAATGGAAATCATAAGTGGTAAGAAAGTTTGATAATGATTTTAACTAATTAGATATTAGGGTTCATTAGGCCAATTGAAAAAAAACTCTTGTTTCAGGATGCCTTTGACAAGGGGTTTGGATAAGGCTTACAGAATAGAAAATAAGGGCCCAAAAAAATAATGAATAAAAAAAAAATGAGCAAAAAATATAAAGAATAAAGAATAATAATAATGGAGTGCAAAAATATGAAGAATAACTGTGGGAAATAAGAGAGAATGTGGTAATACAATACTGATTACAGAAATGATTGATGTGCAGAATAAAGAAATCATCTTATTACAGAAAAGTTTAATAGTAAAAACATTTCATGAGAACTTTTCAGAATACTGTAAATTCAGAAATTTTTGCGAGGTTTTAATTGATGCAAAGAATTAGACTGGGTGAGTATCGCAATAATAAGATCTCACATTCTAATATCTGATACATATATCTGTATGCCGCTTTTCCTGAAATTGCAATGATTAATCTTGCATTTATGACCATTCATCAAAAATATCGCAATGATAAATGCACACAAAAATTTCTGAATTTACAGTAAGCTTTTATTTTTAAAGAGGGAAAAAAGAAAATGCCATTAAAATTACAGAATACATAAAATTAAGGACCCCTCATTCAGACCCTCTTTGATGCCAATTTTAAAATTTCTTTAAACATGTCCTTATGATAAAATTGTAAAAAAACTATTTGTTTTAACTATTGTTGACCATAAGTGTTACCTTCCTACAACAGGAAAACATTTTTTTAATTTTTTTTTTAACAAAATGATAAAAAAAACAAATTACATTTGAACGTTATGAACCTAAAGAGATACTTGTCACCTTATTCCTGATGGGGACACATCAGTATATTAACCAGACCAATTTCATTATGATGACACATAATTATGTCACCTTACAACTTTTATAGCATGTTTGCCTACACAACAAGAATTCACGTGTTTTTATACGACCGCAAAAAAATTTTTGTGGTCGTATATTGGTATGACGTTGGCGTCGTCGTCGTCGTCCGGCGTTGTCCGAAGACACATTGGTTTTCGCACTCTAACTTTAGTTTAAGTGAATGGATCTCTATGAAATTTTACCACAAGGTTCAATACCACAAAAGGAAGGTTGGGATTGATTTTGGGGGTTATGGTACCAACAGTAAAGGAATTAGGGGCCAAAAAGGGGCCAAAAATAAGCATTTTTGTAACTTCCAGACATAACTTGTGTGTTTGTGTATGGATCTCTCTGACATTGTATCACAAGGTTCCATATCACAAAAGGAATGCTGGGATTGATTTTGGGGTAATTGCCTCAAAATTTTAGGAATTAGGGGCCAAAAAAGGGGCAAAAAACAAGGATTTTTCTAGTTTCATGACAATAACTTGTGTGTAAGTGTATGGATCTTTCTGAAATTGTACTACAAGGTTCCATATTACAAAGGGAAAGCTGGAATTGAGTTTGGGGGTAATTGCCGAAACGTTTAGGAATTGGGGGCCAAAAAGGGGCCAAAAATAAGCATTTTTCTAGTTTCCAGACAATAACTTGTGTTCAAGTGTATGGATCTCTCTGAAATTGTACTGCAAGGTACCATACCACAAAGGGAAGGCTTGGATTGATGATGGGGGTAATTGCCTCAATATTTTAGGAATTAGGGGCCAAAAAGGGGCAAAAAACAAGCATTTTTTTAGTTTCAGGACAATAACTTGTGTGTAAGTGTATGGATCTTTATGAAATTGTACTACAAGGTTCCATATCACAAAGGGAAAGCTGAGTTTGAGTTTGGGGGTAATTGCCCTAAAGGTTTAGGAATTTGGGGCCAAAAAGGGGCCAAAAAACACATTTTTCTAGTTTCCAGACAATAACTTGTGTTCAAGTGTATGAATCTCTCTGAAATTGTACTGCAAGGTACCATACCACAAAAGGAAGGCTGGGATTGAGTTTGGGGGTGATGAATCATAAGGGGGTTCAAAAAATTGGGGGGGAGGGGATTTTTTTTTTCCTTTTTTCTTTTTTTCCTTTTTTTTTTCTTTTAAAATTTTCCATTTTAAGTTGGTTATTTCTGATTTATATTTAAAAGCAAATAATAATGATACGGTAGGAGATACACACCAAACAGGATGTGTAAATTATTATATAATAAGTATTGTGCAATAGTAAGAAATTTTCAATTGCACAGTATTGCACAATAGCAAGAAATCTTCAATTGCACAGTATTGCGCAATAGCAAGAAATCTTCAATTGCACAGTATTGCGCAATGGCAAGAAATATCCAATAGCACAATATTGCGCAATAGCAAGAAATTGTCAATTGTACAGTATTGCGCAATAGCAAGAAATATTTAATTGCACAGTATTGTGCAAAAGAAGATACTTCGTATAAATTGCTTATTTCTTGACCAATTTCAATGGGGTTTTATTCTTGAATTCTTGGGGTTCTTTAATATGCTGAATCTAACCATGTATTTAGTTTTTGGATTTTGGGCCCCGTTTTTAAATTGGTCCACATTGAGGTCCAAAGGGTCCAAAATTAAAGTTTGTTTGATTTCATCAAAAATTGAATTATTGGGGTTCTTTGATATGCCGAATCTAACCGTATATTTAGATTCTTAATTTTTGGTTCCGTTTTCAAATTGGTCTACATTAAGGTCCAAAGGGTCCAAAATTAAACTTAGTTTGATTTTAACAAAAATTGAATTCTTAGGGTTCTTTGATATGCTGAATCTAATCATGTATTTAGATTTTTGATTATGGGCCCAGTTTTCAAGTTGATCCAAATCGGGGTCCAAAATTAAACTTTGTTTGATTTCAACAAAAATTGAATATATGGGGTTCTTTGATATGCTGAATCTAACCATGTATTTAGATTTTTGATTTTTGGCCCCTGTTATCAACTTTGTCCACATTGAGGTCAAAAGGGTCCAAAATTAAACTTTGTTTGATTTCATCAAAAATTGAATTCTTGGGGTTCTTTGATATGCTGAATCTAACCATGTATTTAGATTTTGGATATTGGACCATAATAGGTGAATGTCCAATTTAAAAATTTTAAGTTCTTAGACCACCTTCATTCTGTGTCAGAAACCTATGCTGTGTCAAATATTTAATCACAATCCAAATGCAAAGCTGTATCAAGCTTGAATGTTGTGTCCATACTTGCCCCCAACTGTTCAGGGTTCGACCTCTGCGGTCGTATCAAGCTGCGCCCTGCGGAGCATTTTATTAGTCCAATGGAAAAATACATCTGACAATAAAATTAATAAAAGCTGGTATTGTATTTGAGAGGTCTATGAAATAAACTACAAAAGAAATGTTTTATTTTACCATTGCAAATTGAGGAGAGTACCCAAATACAATTTTAATCCAATGTCATGATGATACATGTATCTTTTTATGCCCCACCTAGGGGCATAATGTTTTTAAAATAAGAGATTTTACCCCAATTTCACGGTCCACTGAACTTAGAAAATGATAGTGCAAGTGGGGCATCCTTGTACTATGGACACATTCTTGTTAAACAATATTAGAACCATCTTTTGGTCTGTGCTATGATATCCTTTCCAATAGTAAACAGTGATTTATCCATTCAAAAGTTTCATTCTTACCATTTAGAATAAATTTTACAAGGAGCATTGAATTCCTAAGGGTTGGTGGATACAGAAATATGGTCAACATGTTCCATTCAGCAATAAAACCCATGCTATAGATCCAGTAAGAACTTCCCTGTAGGGAACACTCACTGCAAGTTAAAAAAAATCTTGTCTTAACTCTTTGAGGGGTCTGAGATGGCCTTTTGCAAGGCTAATAATCTGACCCTGTTAAACTTACCTTTCAATTGATATGTCTAAATTCCTACCCGTCATCATAGTCCACCTACTTTGCAAAATATAGTTATTGCATTAGTTTTTGATTTGTTTCTGGTCCTTTTATATGCATGAAATATTTGCCACTTTACATTCAGCAAATATTTACCAATCAATCATTTTTAGTGGCATTTTAATTTCTAAATTGTTTTAAATACTGTAGAAATAATTATTGAATAATAGACATTTGCATAGAACTTTATGAACATACTTATTATCAATTGATTTTTTTCAGCTATCAGAGAAGAGCTTTCAGCAGCACACAGATGAAAGACAGAACAAAGACAAAATTGGGATCAAAATCAATGAATCATCTTATGGTGCTTACAGTGATTCTGGATTGTCCAGTTTGCTGCTGTGTAATATTGTCATATGCAATAGACCTGCTTAGAATGTCATCCCAGTGAACAAAGCTCAATTAACATGTGATTATAATTTGTACAGGATTGCTGATCAGTGATTGGAGGATGATTTTCTAACTTGGTCCATTGCCATAATTGACTGGTACTAAAATATGTGTGTTTCTACCAAAGACAGCAGTTACCAGAGCTATTCCAGTTTTAATTATTTTTATGTACACAGGAGAGTGAGTGAGAAGGGGAAGTAATCAAGTATTATGGATACATGAAATGCTTTGCTCATGTTTTAACAAGTATTAAGATTATCTGCATATATCAGAAAGGTTATAATCATATAAAACATTTGTTTAATATAATCACTCTCATCAGTGTTAAGTTTTAATTTGATAAGTGCTATACCAAGGTTTTTTTCAGCATAATGTTGTTGGCAATGTTCAACTTACAAAGAAAAACTAATGCCAAATGTTTGAATAAATTTCAATTCAACTGGTCTTTCACAGTTCAAAACGAAAAAGGAAAGAGAAAAATATGAAGACTTTATACCAGTACCTTTAAAAGTAAAACAAAAAGTCAGCTTTTAGAACTGTTGGGCCAAAGTATTTGTCAATGAGAGGACTTGTGATTTATTTCTTATTAAACACTATTGTCATTGCCATAGATTTTTTTTTCTTTTTATTTAGTATATATTAAATCACCTGAACAAATAAAAGAAATATATATGATTTTTTTTCTCACTTAAAGGATCTCTTTTCCATCTATATATAGATTTTTTAATATTTCTCAGTAATAATCAAAAATTTTTGTAACAGATTTATGTAAATATCTATATTTGACTATAATAATCAGCTTATCACATAATAGGTTTTATATGGGAAAATTTGCTTGGTGCTGGAATCAACACAGGCATTTAGTTGTAGAACTTTGAAAATTTTTTGTTCATTTGATAAATGACTTTTTTGTTGGATAATATGTGCAGCCAGAGTTTTTCCCCTTTATGGCAAGTAAATATAAATAAGGCATATCACATGTAAAAGTCATGTTTACATATTTGCTTAAAAATAAAATCATGTTCCATATAGACACAATGTGTGATGTGTAAAGATAAAGCTGCAAATTATCTAAAATGCGGAATAGTTTTAAGTATGTTAATCATTATGAACAGAAAGAATATTTATTTTTTTATTTCATGAAAGCCAAAAATAGACATGCATTACACAAAACAGAGAATGTTTTGAGTTTCATTGCTCTCAGGTTTAAACTTGCCTTTCTGAACTTATTTCACTTGCACTATCATTTATGGTTAAGATTAAATAAAAAGTTAAGTATGATTTTGTATCTTTAAAATTATTATTATACCAGAACTTATGCTGTTTCTTACTAATTGTCTTTGAAATAGTTCATTTAATTTGCATTTAGTAATGAACGAATTAAATATTTATTAGGGATTAAGATTTATGATGTTTAGGGAAAAAAGTGTAACAAAAACACTGAACTCTAAGTTCAATTCAAAAAGGAGAAGTTCATAAAAACTGATAAAATCAAACAGTTCTGACTGACACAATGAATTACTTCATTTTAAAAGCTATAATTCCAGTGGGGTTTAAAGAAGTTCAATCCAGGCAGGTGAATTGAAAAAAAACAATCAATCATGAACAAATAGTCAAGTTTCTAAAGGTGATGAGAGTCCCTCTGTTATAAGGTCAGCTCTACATAAAGATAGATTTAGTGTTACTTTGGATATATTATTATATGTTTGTTGGATACCAATTCTTATGGATTTCGTGGGTACAGGTGAACCATGAATTGACATGTTCAACGAATTACAAGTTTTTTAAAGGTTTGTATGCAGACTTCAGCAAATCTATGAAATCAAATATTCAAGAAATTGAAAGTTTTCTTCAATCCATGAAAATTGGTACCTACAAAATTAAATGAATCCACAGTAATACATTATAGGACTGATTTAGGAGAAATTATAAAAAAATGGTCTAATATAGTTTAAATTCATTGATCCTTAATTTTCATAATTGACCAAATGTAATAAGTGGTCATGAATTTTTGGTTTCGAACAGAGTTGAAATCAAATTAATTGGAAAATTGTTTTAATTTGTGGGATACTAAAATTTTATGATTTAGTCATCTGTAAAATTCACGATTTGTTTGGTCATGAACAAGGAAATACTTCTTTATGCTGTAATCAGTTCTAGAATTTTCATGACCTTCATTGTTAAAGTCAGTAAGACCTTATAAAGGAGTGGGGAATACACAATGGTATATAACCAATATTATTTTATATAAGTAGTAAGGGCTGTTGCATGAAAACATACATAAGACCCAGGGAGGGCACTTCGCAATCATGACTATGACTTAGTGTCTAGTACAGTGAAAATATAAGTGAAATTGTACATTTGACTCTATAGGTGGTTACCCCAATTTAGAAAGTGCCTTGACAGGGTAACATGTATGTTTGAATAGAACAGCTTTAATTAGAAAGGCTAGTGATAAATTTTGTTTTGTCTGATTTGATTTTTTATACAATGAATAAATGTAATTTTATAGAAAAAAAACTATACTTTGGAACCAATAATACAGTATGAAAGATGTAAATGTGTAATGGGATAATAATCGAGTATGTATAGACGACATTCAAGAATCTCATTTGAGGTTGTGATCGATATGTGATATCAGGAGATTATAGCTGGATATATCAGATATATGGGATTAAAATTGTAAAGAAGTAGCATGATTCTTATGTTATCAGAGAGGAATAATTAATAACCATTTAACTTTTAACTGTATTTGAAATTAATCAGATTAACAATGACCTTTATTTTTTTCATGAATAACATTGAAAAACTTTTTACATGGTTTTTCATTTATCTCCCCTTAACTGATTATAAATATATTACTTGTTTTTCCAAACTTTACTCTGAAGGTCCCTCAGATATTTGCAAAAAGTCTATTAAATAGTGCTTCGGTCCATCTTTTATTAATTGTCTAGTAAGAATTAATCCTTTATAATATATAGACATGTTAAAATTCAGTAAAAAAAAATTTGTGTACCATTAAATCTTAATACTTGATGGACCAGTAACTATCTGTGACTTTCAAAATGACTGCTTCCATAACAAATACACTTATATGTTGTAACAAATATTTCTGTAGATAATGGCACTGTACATTACCCATTAAGAGCACATGTTTGTATATTACATTAATCATTTTGCCAAACACATGATCCAGGACTATGTATGTGTATGTTACTGTATAGCTTGTTATTTTTACTGTAAAAGGCCAAGCCTTGTGTTATTGAAATTTGTTGTAGATTTTTTGTTCAAGAAACCAAAGGTTTTATAGGCCAAATATTAACACCTCTCTGTCTTGGAATATTTAATGCAAGAATGAATTCACTGGTTCTACAGTGTTCTTGAGAAGATTCTGTTATATGATGTAGGCTCTTATAATTTATTTTTTTTCTTTTATATGAATTATATACTGTGATTTCAAAAATTTTGCAATGATTTTTTATATGGTGAAAATTACAAAAGGATAGGTTTCACAGATATAACTTCTATTTTGAATTTTGATAGCATTATTGTATGTTGCATTTCCTGAAATTGCAATGATTAATCAATTAATTTTGTCCATGGTTCCAAAATCTCAATGATAAACGCTTATTTACAAATTTATGACTTTACATTATTGAACAATGATTTCATATTTTGGAACTTTACTGTGACTGAACTTAATTTGCAAGTACTGACAACATTTCGAAAAATAATTACTAATGTTCTATGATGTTAAATGTTTGTTATTGAGATGATAAAAAGTTACATGAAAATTTTTTATCATATGCAGTGGTAAACTTATTTGAAACAAAAAGATTGGAAGTAATTTATTTATACGGAAAGAGGTATTAAAAAATAGCCAAACAATCCTTAATAGGCACACAATGCCAGATTTAGTCAAAATGGTATTTTGTGCATAATTTACAATTATGATCTTATCAAAATGTATGTAATACATTGTTGACATTACAGAAATACTAAAATAATGTTAAATAAACAATATCCAGTCATTAAAATTAATTTATCAGTATTTATCATGAATAAACAATGAACATTCTGTAAAAAGAGATATTTTATAAACTTGCATTGTATTTTTCAGTCAAAACCATGTAATGAACATTTAGCATTGTCAACATTTTTTTAAGTGAAGCAATATATATCATTATCCATTAACGACCAAACTGCTTTCTCTGGTTTATATTTTTATAATAGATACATTTTTGTTTGTATATTACGATCAATGTCCAGTAATTGCATACTCATTTTTCATTAGTGATACATGAATTAGAATATTAAAATTGCTTTAATATTTTATTAAATTTGTTTGATAGATAATTAATCATGACAGTAATTTTTTTAATACTTAAAAGTCATTATTTGTTGCTTCTTTGATTATTTAATATCATTTTGTGAATTAATGTAACTTTAAGAAAACATTCCTTTAACAATAGTTATTGTCTCCCATTGGTGGTCCTTATGACTTAACTAACTTGGTAAAGGGAAAACGACTGGCTTTAATTTATTATTATTCAGTTATCTTCAATACTAGGTGACCGAGGAGAGAGAATTTATATTTTATTATGCCATTGATCCTTTTGGCTCAAGGGAGGTTATTTATAATCTCCCCTTTGTAATTTGGTTTACGTGATTGGCTTATGTTTCTCATTAGATCAAATATGGCAGCCCCATGTATCAAGCAGTTAATATTTATTCACCATTTTTATTAAGATTGTAGTAATTCTAAATCATTTTGTAATCAATCTTCAGACTTATATATATCAGAATTAAAATTCCATATTTCCATAATTACAAAAGTTATCTCCCTTTTCTATTTGCAAGGGTTATCCCTCTTGTAAGATGGTACAAAAAGAGCTTTAGAAATATTTGGAATAAAATAAATTAAAAAAAATATATCTATGTGCATATTTACTGTCCAAATGGATAAGACTTTTACTTAAATATCAAAGAAAGGGGGAGGTCAATGCTGAATTATCAGGTATAATGATAACTTCCATGCGTAAATTGATACAGATAAATAACAAAAGTTGCATTGGTAGGATCTGTGACAAAGGGAGAAACTTTATGTAGATGAGATAATCATTTTTGCATATTTGATACATTAAACTAGATTTTCCAAGACATTTTAGCAATATTTGTGAATTATCCATTGTGTTCAATATTGTAATGATTATAACCAAGTGCATAGCTTTTGATGCTGTAATGGTAAAAAGATATCTTTGCTTTGTTTAGTTTATTTTGTTTGATAGTGCCTGTGGACATTTCTACCTCTGAAAAATAATTCCTATTTCGAAATCGATAAATTGATTAAGTTGATTCACCGGTAAATACACTAATATTGAATTATATGTGAAATGAACAGGTAAAAAAATTGAGAATTATAGAATGAACAAATCTGTAGGGGGAGGACAGAAGATCTCTGTTGGCATCCTAGTGCCATATTGTACAGTTGAACATATAGTGTAATCTATTTATCATCTACAAAATAAACTATGCTTTTATACTTTGTTGTTTTATTATAAAATTGAGAATGGAAATGGAGAATGTGTCAAAGAGACAACAACCCGACCATAGAGCAGACAACAGCCGAAGGCCACCAATGGGTCTTCAATGCAGCGAGAAACTCCCGCACCCGGAGGCGTCCTTCAGCTGGCTCCTAAACAAATATGTATACTAGTTCAGTGATAATGGACGTCATACTAAACTCCAAATTATACACAAGAAACTAAAATTAAAAATGATACAAGACTAACAAAGGCCAGAGGCTCCTGACTTGGGACAGGCGCAAAAATGCGGTTGGGTTAAACATGTTTTTATGAGATCTCAACCCTCCCCCTATACCTCTAGCCAATGTAGAAAAAACAAACGTACACGCACAGTTAAACTCAGTTTAAGAGAAGTCCGCGTCCGATGTCAGAATAGGAAACAAAAGAAAATAAACAAAATGACAATAATACATAAATAACAACAGACTTCTAGCAGTTAATGACATGCCAGCTCCAGACCTCAATTAAACTGATTGAAAGATTATGCCTGCTCTAGGAGTGGGTGATATATTGGAATTACCCTGTCTAGCAATTCATTAGTCCAACAAATATTTTCATCACACTTTTCTTTAGGAAGACCAGGGCTAAAGACTTTATGTTTTGTCAGCATCTTTGACTGTAGTGAGTGGTAATGTATGAGTTATTTTTGGATCTGTTTGACACCCACTTCCTTTTTGCCGATAATTTTAATTTTAATATATTGAATGAAAAAAACAAGATTTTCATCACATTCTACTAGCTATTGAACAGAATGGCTTTATATTTGGTCACCGGCTTGACAATGGTGAGTTCTTTTTGGATCTGTGGACTTCTACTTCTTGTTTTCTAATACTTTGAATAACAAGTTGGGGTATGCTTGCACAACTCTTTGTTTAGTCAGTAAGCAGTGTTATTATTGATCATACTACATTTGACAGATGATAAAGTAGTGGTAATCATAAATGATTCACTTTGTTTAGGAAACAAATGTTGATATTATAAGACTTTGTATAGATATAAGAAGATGTGGTATGAGTGCCAATGAGACAACTCTCAATCCAAGTCACAATTTATAAAAGTAAACCATTATACCATCTTGAGTTTGATTATTTTGTACAGTTTTATGGTTGTTATATATCAATGTTTGTGCAATATACCACATAATGCTGATATTTCAGGTTGTTCTTAAAGAGTTCAATAGATTCCAATAAATCACTTAAATCTCTTCATTCATAAAACAAAAATTCACAAAACAAATACAGACTGATATACATATACAAGTAAGACTTCATTTAATAGTGGTACTGCATTAAGGTAAATAAAAGACTTTGTCAGGAAAGTTTAATTTTATCCACACATTTACACCAGACAATAAAGAATGTAAAAGCTCTCACACCAAGAAAAGAGCTCAGGAGTAAAAAAAAAGGTGAAAAACAGATTATGCTGTATAATTTGGCTAACAATGACGTTTAAGTATAACATTTTGCCTGTAAATAAACTCATCATAGATACCAGGATTAAAATTTTGTATGCCAGACGAGCTTTTCGTCTTCAAATGACTCATCAGTGACGCATGAATCAAAAAGATTAAAAAGGTAAAATGAAGTACGAAGTTGAAGAGCATTGAGGACCAAAAATTCCGAACGGTTTTGATAAATACAGCTAAGGTAATCTAATACTATTTCTAGAAAATCTTAATGTGGTTTACGCTAAATTTCATCTGATTCTGTGAGATTTACTCCCAGACATTAATGCATGGTTTTCTATGAGACAAGACTTGTTGGTTCAGACTAAGAATTACTAGAGAGACAAATCTTTGGTGGCCTTCGGCTGTTTTCTGCTCTTTGGTCGGGTTGTCTCTTTGACACATTCCCCGTTTCCATTCTCAATTTTATTATTTGTAGGGGTAAGCTAGCTAGAACTACTGAAAACCATCTTATTAGGATTGGTCTGTTATATCCTTTTTTGTCAGGCATTAAGAAGGTATATTTTCCAAGAAATGGTGGTTTTAAGAACTGCTTCAATTCTGCACATATTATAGGGAAATTATAGAATCAAGGAAATATAAATCAATTAGACATAATTTATGTCGTTATATGTGACTATTTCACATCAATGAAAGTTTTCCATCCATATTTCTTTTTGTGGAGCCTGCAACATTTATCTCTCAAAAGCGAGACATAGCGATCCTAGGTTCTGTTGACACTTCGGCGGCGTCAACATTTAGCTTCAGTCTGTGGTTAAAGTTTTTTTTAGACAACAATAACTTGGTCAAACCTTCATGGAATTTTATGAAATTTGAACAAAAGCTTGTTTATGACCAAAAGACAGTATCCAGAGCAAAATGTTCAAAAGTATATATCTGGAATTGAATTTTTTGACATGATAAATTTGTAAACCTTCATGGAATGTTATGAAACTTGGACAGAAGCTAATAGACATAGCATCTAAAGAAAAAGTTTTAAATTCTGTATTATAATGATAAATGGACTCACTTTTTAGCTCACCGGGGCCGGAAGGGCCCCATGTGAGCTTATGCCATCACTTAGCATCCGTCTTTGACGTCTGTCGTCGTCGTCTGTTGTCTGTCGTCGTAAACTATTTCAAAAATCTTCTCCTCTGAAACTACTGGGCCAAATACCTTCAAACTTTAACTGAATGTTCCTTAGAGTATTTAGTTTATAAATTATATCCGAAGTTTTGATCCATCGACAAACATGGCCACCATGGCTAAAAATAGAACATAGGGGTCAAATGCAGTTTTTGGCTTATATCTCAAAAACTAAAGCTTTTAGAGCAAATCTGACAGAGGTAAAATTGTTCAATTGGTCAAGATCTATCAGCTCTGAAATTTTCAGACGAATCGAACAACCCATTGTTGGGTTGCTGCCATCGAATTTGTAGTTTTAACAAAATTTTGCAGTTTTTTGTTATTATTTTGAATATTATTATAGATATATATAAATTGTAAGCAGCAATAATGTTCAGCAAAGTAAGATCTACAAAAAAGTTAATATGACCATAATTGTCAATTGACCCCTTAAGGAGTTATTGCCCTTTAAAGACAATTTTACACAATTTGTTCATCAAGTTTGCTAACATTTAAAAATCTTCTCCTCTGAAACTACTGGGCCAATTACCTTCAAACTTTAACTAAATGTTCCTTAGGGTATCTTGTTTATAAATTGTATCCGAAGTTTGTATCCATCGACAAACATGGCCGCCATGGCTAAAAATAGAACATAAGGGTCAAATGCAGTTTTTGGCTTCAATCTCAAAAACTAAATCTTTTAGAGCAAATGTGACAGGGGTAAAATTGTTTAATTGGTCAAGATCTATTGGCCCTGAAATTTTCAGACGAATCGAACAACCCATTGTTGGGTTGCTGCCACCGAATTGGTAGTTTTAACAAAATTTTGCATTTTTTTGTTATTATTTTGAATATTATTATAGATATGTATAAACTGTAAGTAGCAATAATGTTCAGCAAAGTAAGATCTACAAAAAAGTTAATATGACCATAATTGTCAATTGACCCCTTAAGGAGTTATTGCCCTTTAAAGACAATTTTACACAATTTGTTCATCAAGTTTGCTAACATTTAAAATCTTCTCCTCTGAAATACAGGTGAGCGATTCAGGCTCTTGAGAGCCTCTTGTTAAGTCAACATTTCACTTTTACACTGACAGCTGCAATTGCAGACGAGGAACCTGTTACAAATGTTTTGGAAACATCAAGCACAATCCAGAAACAATTAAGTAATTCTAGAGATTATTATTCAGTCTCACCAAATATTGTTGATAAGGTGTGTACATACTTTTCCAATAAAAAAATATACTTGCAAGTAGATGTAAAACAACAAAAATGAAGGAATTTTACAAAATATACTCATTTTGTAGTAGCCTGATGCAAAAATAACCCAATATACAGGATATCTGAGAACCTTCATGTTAATGAAAATAATTGTTTGCTGTGATATAAAGTTATCTGTTCTTTATTCATAATAAATATAGGATCTTTATGCCCAAATTTAATTAATTAATGCACAAGTGGTTTTTCCTATTTTCCAGCCTATATATTGGAAAGTAAATTTATGTGAAAGATGTTGGCTCCAAGAAGAACTATTTCATAATAAAAAAAAAATATTTGGACTATCTTTACATATTTTTTAACATTTTGTTATCCTGAGGCATTATAGATGACTACTGTAAATTCAGAAATTATTGCGAGGTTTTTATTAATGCGAATAATGCGAATGAATGAGTATCGCAATAATAAAAATTCGCATTCTGATATTTGATACATATAACTGTATGCAGATTTTCCTGAAATCGCAATAATTAATCTCGCATTTTAGTCCATTCTTCAAAATTCGCAATAATAAATGCACGCAATAATTTCTTAATTTACAGTATATGTTATTGGTTATGATCAGTTTTGGAGGCTGTACTGGGATAAGTAGCTGTTTACATCCTTGTCCTTTGGTATTTGGTGGATAGTCGTCTCAGTGGTAATCATACCATATTACATTATTAATATATAGTGTGGTAATATAGCTACAAGCCATGTGATCTTTTATCATTAGATTTGGAATTCTGTTTTAAGGGTCCAGTCCACTTAACAATAGGTATAACTTGCAGAAAATTGTTTATCTCTTGTAAAAGTTAAGTCCATTTTGAAGAAGGTGAATCTTTAAAGAAATGGAATATCCCAAAGTCTAGTCCATTTATGGGTAAACCTTGGTGAAAACTGTTCTCAGTATAATAATAAATGATTTATTGGACCACTGATTACTTAATAAAATATACCATCAAAATAATGATTATTATTTACCGGTAGTCATAGAAACAAAACTTTAATTGTCATTTCACTAATTAATTGTTTTGTGAACAATTTCAATGACAACTTTTGAGTTGGTAATCAGAATGAACAACAGCACAGGTTCTATGTATGATTCTCTGAACTCAGATTTGTTCTC